ATTACCTTTTGCTTTAAACAAGCTCGCTGTTAATTTTCACAATGGGGTCTGTGGGGTAACGTTGCGAATGCATGTGCGGTTTTGACACAATTTTCAGTCTCCTCTTCTCTGTCTCTCCTTCCTGTCATCCCTTTCCTTCACTTTTCTCCTGGAGCATTTGTTGTGCTGCCTGGTTCCAGCATGTTAAACTTTGTTTATGCCCTAAACAACCTTTGCTTTGCAGAGACCAGATGGCTTCCTCCATGGCTACGACAAACTCTGCTGCCCCTGTAGTGGTGTAAGATAAAGCTGCTGCTCTTAACTGGGAAGGTGGAATTGTGGCAACATCAGGGCACCCACCTGCAGAGCAGGAAGATGCTAAAACCAGTCCTCAGATTGCACGGGGGAATGAGGGAGGTGGAGAGAAGGTCCTGCTGGGTGGGAGCTGTCGGAGGCAGCTATCGCTGCAGTGTCGCATAGGCTGTCATGTTCACAGCACACCCGTTTCCTCAACAGATTGTGCCCAAGGTTGCGGTAGGTTGGGAGAAGAGAAAGTGGCCAAGGCTGAAGGAGAACAGTTACAAAGGGCATGAAGGGAACAGACACACCACGCATTGCTGCGGAGATCTGTCACAGTTCTAATTTCAGCTCTTGCCATTACAGCTCTCAGATATTTCTAACAGTTTTCCAGAAACGTTTGGTGAAAGCTCAGGCATTTTTAAAAGACTTCTGTGACCATCTGTACATCTGTCGCTGGGGCTGGTTAAAAAACTTAATGGGCTGGAAAGGCTTCCTGGGAAATGAAAATGGTGTAGGAAATGGATTCAGGTGGCAGTGGAGGCATCTGCAATCCATTGACAACTGCAGCAGTATCGATAAGAAATGAGGGAGGGCTTTGAAATGACATCTTGGCCTTCCACAAGCTCTGATCCCAGATCTTTGGCTTTGCTGGAGCCATCCTCTGGTCCCTAACCGTGCTTTTACAGACCCTGTGTCTCTGAGTTGTTTGTGGGGAAAGGAGGCTCCAGATGTCCCGCTTTGGTGCGCTAGGGGCTGGGCTTTGTCACACCTAGGGGAATAATTGTGCTTGTTTCTAAGGCCAGGAGCAGAAGGTGCTCACTGGCTTGAGTTTTAATTTTGGCTTAAGTTAACACAGCAGACAAGATTGATGTACGCTCTCTCAGCATAGCATGATCCTCTCATCCCTGCCAGAGAATGGCCACAGCACGGTTAGTTTCCAGACAAACACGAGCATGGGCTGAAGTGACAGCTCGTAGGAGAGCGGTACAAGTGCCACCCCTGTGCCTTTTAGCTCCTGGTCTCTCAGCTCGGCCTGCCCTGCTTGAAGAGCTCATGCTGAGCACGGTTTGCGACGTCTCTTCTCACAGTGGAAATCATATCTGAGGGCCACCTGGACTTTTGGTACCATGCTCCCTGCAGCCAGACTGCGTCCTATAAGCAGCTGGCATTTTGGTAAAAAGAATCAGCCCCACTTTTGGCCTTCTGTTGTGCTGGAGTTTTATGTGAATCCAAGGTCAGTGTTGCCTTTAAGAAATATACATTTGTTGTTGTCATTTGTTAGTGCTGTTCTTGAAGGGACAAAGTAGGGGCAAGGGGTGTCTACCTGGCTAAAGAGAGAGAAAATAAAGCATTACAATGAAAGCTCTCTGCAAAGCTTTTAAGCTGTGAAGAATTTGCCTGGCATCCAGGCTGGCTAACTCTCCTTTTTTTTGTTCTTTATCATTAGGCTTCCTTGAACTTTAACTGAACCATAAGGAAACTATGAAGAGTCTCAATAGCTGCCCTGTGAGGATTTGACTTACCCATTGGATCTGCTATTTATAGTGTCCATTAGTACAAAAATGTCTGTCCTTTTGCAGCAGTCATGTATAGCAAAAACACTGCTGTTCTGGTGAACTGCCTGTGCCTCCTGTGTCACCCAAAATATCCATCAACAGAGTGCTCAAAGTGAGCCTTTCTTGATTTTAAAATAGAAAAAAAAAAGGATAACAACCCTGAGGACATTTTTATTTTTTATTTATGTATTTTCGTAGTCTGAAATTACCATTTTTCAGGAGGCACCGTTTTACCTCCAGCTGCATCTCCCTGTTCAGCATAATGTGTGTCCCAGGCAAATTAAATCAGGAAGAGAGCTGAGGGAGCAGAAGCTGTCTTTACAGCCTTGGAGAGCCCATCTGCACCCCAGAGTCAGGCAGTGTGTAAACAAGTATAAACTTGTAACAAACAAAATCATTTGTTGTATAGATTTGTCCTGCCTTGCTGGGAAGAAGCTTGTGGTAGTTTGGGTGGCAGAGACTAAGTGGGTTTCCTCTGGATATACTCCAAGCTACTCAATATGGTAAAAGTTTCGATATTCTGTTTCTGAAAAATTAATTGAAGCCTTTTCTTGTAATTTTCTTGTGCAAATAAGCTTAAAAATTGATTTTCTGAAGTCTTCCCAATTGTATCAGTGCAGACTTGATGATGTTACTTCTGTTGGTGTCATGGTTTATAGGTTGGTGTGGAAGTTTGGACAGAAGGGTCACATTGCATGAGTGCGGTGTCATCAGCACGGGGTCTTCCAGAGCCACAGTGTTCCCTGCAAAGCTCTGTGTCCTTCTCCATGCTTATCAGAGCTGTCAGGGCAGTGTTCCTCCATATTCTCAAATGAACAGAATCTGAGCACGAAAACGCTGCGTGTTGAAGGTTGCTTTTTGCAAGAAAGACTGACTTCCTACCTGCATTCCTTGTCCTGCCATGCAGGGCGCTGCAGCTCGGGCTGTGAGGTGCAGTGTGGAACAGAGCTCCAGGTGTCTCTGGAGAGAGGGAATGCCAGTCTGGAGAATTCATCTTCCTACTTGTTTCCTGTACTGTTGTGCAGTCTGTGTGTGCCTCACAGCACAGGGAATTGTCAGGACCTGTAAGGATTTCCAGGCACTGTTTGTGTCCAGTCCACTGCTGCACACCATGTAACCATCTGGGAGGGTTTGTGAAGCATCATCTCTTCCCTGTTCCTCACTGTGGGGTACAGAGGAACACATCCAGCATCCAGCAAGCGTGGAAGTGGGAAAAACTCCAAAATGAGATACAGGAGCCTAAAATGAGACTGGGAAGACTGATGGGTTTTTAATCAGCGTTGCTCTTTGGTCCATATGACTGAAGCCACATGCATGAGTTGCTTATGGGGCTTGGTCTCATTTACATGACAAAGGGGAGTTTCACATAATGCACTGAGGGCCTGTTGTTGACTAGAGGGACAGAGAAGCAGAGCTGCCACACCTGGCCTCCTGCTGATACAGGCATCTGTATCACGTAGTTTCTTTCATAAATATATTGATCTCCATCTCAAAGCCAAATGAAGTTTTTCCTTCTGTGGGGAAGACTGCCAAAGCATCATGCAAAACGTCTTCTGATTTCAGGTCTGATTTCTCCTTGATCATTTATCTAGTCAGTTTATCCTTGGTTTTCCTCATCCATTCTTGGATGAGCAGTTTTTAAAAATCAACTTATCTTTCATTGCTTGGTGGTGGTTCTGACACATTCATCCATCAGCTCTTGGTATTGGCTGCAGCCAATGATGCTGTGTTGTAGTCCCTGCCCTCCTGGCAACCAGTCAAGAGGGAAGTGAATGGTAGGATATAAATACCAACAATTATGAAAGTTCTTTGCCAGTGGGTTGTTTTTTTAATATCTCATTACATACTCAGTTTGTTCAAAAGGGAGATTAACGGAGTGTTTTGTTTTTAGATGAGCATGACTGTGAAAGTCGAGTAACTTGCATCTATGTTTCTTGAGGAAAAAAGTTGGTTTTTCTGAAGCACAAATGAAGAAAAATAACTTTGCATTAAAAACACTGTGGAATTCTGCCAGAGTGAGATGAAGCCACTATTAATCTAATGGACAGCATCCCTTGTTAGCTCTCTTGTTAGGGTGGTTGCTGTAAAGTTGCAAGTAGGGCATTGATTTAAATATACTTCCCCTTCCCTTGCCTGGAGGGAGTGGTAATGGATGAGCAGAGAGCTTTTATTTCTGCCCCCAGGGATGGTGTTTAATGGGGGCTCTGCGAGTGCAGAACGTTGCCATCTGCAGTGGGGTGGAGCAGTGCTGAGCGATTCCTCGCTGGAATCCTCGCGATGGAGGGTTCACACTGCACAGTGCTGGTCATGGGGAAAGCAAAGCGCAGGCCGTGGGGCACCCACCTCTATGGAGCATGCTGCAGCCCCAGCAACTCTCCTGGTGCTCCTCTTCCTTGCCTGAGCACCAGCAGCAGCTGGGAGCAAACCAGTATCCCAGACCAGGGCCTGCGAGTCCGTCCTGCACCATGGATGTTATCTTCTGCAGTCCACTTGTGTGGTATTCAGCGCTACTGGTTAATTAAAACTTCATGTTGCATTCTTAAAAGGGATGAGGAGCCCAAAATACACGTTTAAATCATATTGAAATATTTGTCTCTTCTATTTCAAGTCCCTCATTAGCATATCCTTAGATGTGTAAGTGCCTTTAATGCATATTAACTGTATGCTGATGGAGTGGAAACATCTGAAGTACAAGTAAGAATACAGCTAACTCCATACATAAAACGTCATGAAATCCAGTTACTGAAGTGATTGTGCTACCATGGTTTGCAAAACAGTATATAAGGAAAAAAAAAATAAAAATTTGCAAGACATTTTATAAATGATCATTGTAAAATGTTGCTGTTGTTGCACATTGTCCCTAACAGACCAAAGAAAGAACGTTTCATAGTGCTGCTTTGTGCATCTTTCTGCAAAGGCTGGAATCCTGGTCTTTATAAACACTCAGCGTTTTCCACGGAGGTCTTTTGAATATCTTGTCCTTCTATTTCATTTTTAATGATTTGCTTTTATTTCAGGAAAAGATTACCTTCTAGAAAATGCTTTAAGTCAGTCTCCTTTTTTTAATATGCTGTTTAATCTTTACAATTTTTGAGAAATCCTTCTCATTATTGTGCTTTTCTTTGTGTTTTTTTTTTTTTTTCCTCTTTTTTCCTGCTGCCACAGAAGAAGTGTCTGCAAGGATAGTGCAAGTAGTAACAGCTGAAGCTGTAGCAGTCCTGAAAGGTGAACAGGAAAAAGAAGCCCAGCACAAAGATCAGCCTGGACCACTACCTATAGGTAAAACAAGATGAAGAATGCTCAGAGTATCCTTGCATCTGCAAACATTAAATATACATATATTAAAAAGAAACCCAAACAAACAGTTTGTATTCAACAGCACAGTGTGTATTCATGTAGGTCATAGTCATGGGTGAGCTATGGCACCATGCGATACTGTCACCCTTACTGCCTCAGTTCTTCATTCCTCTTTGGCAGTCTCATTCACTGTGCCCACAAGAGCAGCTTTCCACCTATCTATTGAGCAGTGCAGCTGTGACTAGAGTTGGTGGAGGTGGTTTTGTGTGGTGGACCAAGCAGCACCGAGAGCCCTTTATGTTCAGCTGTTGGAGAGGAAGCTTCATGTCTGAAGAGACAAAGATTAGGTGAGAGGCATATAAAAAGAATGAGATTTTATTGGTTGACGGCAGCTACTCCAGAATATGGAAGATGAGCTTCTTGGCAAGACACAGAGAGGAACAGGGGACCCAGGGTGGGAGTGGGAGAGGAGACAGCAGTCGTGAGTGTGAGGCAGAGGGAGGGACACCAGGTGGAAGCAAGTGCGGTGCTCCAGACTGGGGGTTGTCCAAAATGCAGCTGTATGTATATTGAGGTAACTATACAGCCATTTGTGGGTACAGTGCTTCCTCACTGCCAGAAAACTTCCACAGTTGCCCAGAGCATGTACACAAACACCAGAGAAAGACCAAACGCTGTCCTGAAGTGATGAATGTCTTACAAGCCTGTCCCCAGGATTAGTCTTGCTGAGAGTGTGTATGTTGTGATCAAATCAAAATAACACTTCATGGTATTTTTCCCACAGGCATTCCACTTGGTACAGTGGCTGGACCCTGCCTAGGAATGAATTAAAGTCAATGAGTAATTAAAAGAATTAGTTGTAAATTTGATCCCTAGGTGTTTTGCTTCATTGGATTAATTTTGAGCTGCAGGTCCAGCAGAGTGATGTGTGCCTCCGTAACTCCCTTCTTTGCAGAGATTGAATATTACGTGAAAGACCCCGATTCCACAAAACACTTCATACATATTTAAGGACACAATGCTTCACTGGGGCCTTTGTGAGTCAAAATGAGTATTCAGTTACATGTGGTGAGGTAGAACACTTCAAACATGCTAAGGAGTGCTTCCTCAGTTAGCACATACTGGTGTTACAGTTCCTGTGACCAATCAGTATTACATAAATTCAGCTACAAAGGGCCTGTAGTGAAGATAGAAATACTCTGTCCCTGGACAAGCAAATCTGACGGGCAACTCACATAGGGCTTTCTTCCAAACTACATTGGCCTCAGGGGAAAGAAGGCCAGGAAATTCTTCTGGGGCTTTGAAAGTGACCCTTCTATCCTTGTAAGGAGTCATGAACTGAGAGCTGGTTGTTGGGACTTGCCGTTTATATAACACAGATCTGTTAACGGAATCATTACTTTTTTCTTCTTTTCTTCTTCTCCTTCAAAATGTGGCTCAAGTCACAATGGAGGCTTTGGTTTAAAAAAAAAAAAGAATCTCAAAATGATTAGTATGAAATCAGATGCAGAAATTATGTTGAATTCATTTAAGCAGCAGCTTGTTCAGGATTTTATCATACTTCTATTGAAATTAATGGAAAAACATCATCTGGTTTCAGCATGCAGACTCGTGACTGGAAATGAATTGAAACATAACCTAAGTGAAGCTTTGATTTCACAGCATCTCACTTAGCTCAATTGTTAACAGGTCATAGCTGACATAAGTTCTCTATGCTGATGTCTTTTGTATTTAGACAAAGAGTATTTGCATACATTCTGTAATTAACTTTGAACTCAGTAGAAGCAAAATAAAAAGATGGTTGTAAAGTGTTTTGTGTTCACATACTCAAGGTAAACTGAGAAGATTGGATGCCAGTTTCTCGCTGTTACAGTTAGCCTGAATTTGTAAAATCTCTCCTCCACGGATGCTTTATTGTTGTTGCCTTGAGTGACTGAAGGCTAAGTGCCATACTGATCTGAAAGATAATTTCATACTTCATTTTTTGTATGGTGCTCTTTGACTAGAATTTTGAAAATAATGCATTCCATCTAAGAAAACAAATCTTTTTAACATAGCTTGAACAACCCAGAGTTCTGAAAGGTTCTCCTGCAGATCCCTGGCATGCAGGTCCCCATCCGCTAGTTCTCTCAGCTGGGCAGCGCAGGCTGACTGCAGCCTGCATCAAGCATTGGTCTCCTGGGAATTAATTGCTGTATCTTGTTTCCATTGTTTGATTTCCAGCAGTCGAAGAGTCAGCCAACCTGCCTCCTTCCCCACCTCCATCGCCAGCTTCTGAGCAGACTGGAGCTCTGGAGGAAGGTAAGGGTCTCTTGAACAGCATACGGCTGCCAGAGGAGGGATGAGACATGAATCTAAAGCAAGGGGAAATCAGAAAATGGAGATACCTCCTTCAGCTTCATGTGGAAAGATAAGGCATTCCCCAGCAGTAACTCCCCATCTGCAAACCAACTGCAGTGCATGGATGAGGTAGACTCATATGCACAGACATAACTGACAGGATATGTTAAGTACATCCATATTGAAGAAGAAAAGGTGGTGATGCTAACTAACCCTTTAATCTGTCACATGTAATATCAGCTGAGATGTCTGCTATCCCAGTGTGGTCACCAAAACTCAGTCAGTATGGGTAATTCATGTTTTCCTAGGATTCTTTTGTCTGGATTCTGTGTTGTTTTGCTTTTAATCACCGTGAGCTTTGTATTTGGAATCTTAAACGCATGAAAGTAAGGAGGTTGAGCGTTGGATTGTTTTTCTGATCTTCAACCTGTAATTCCTGCTTCAGTGTCTGCATGCAGTGGGGTTTGTACGCATCGTGCAGGAGTGAAATTCTAGTCTCATAAAGAACATTTCTGTTATCTGCACAATGAATATTCAGTCTCCATAGCCCATGATCTCTGCTTTTCCCTCCTGCTAAAATCCCCTCATCAAAGAGATCAAGCATTCACTTAATGTTTAAGTAGAAGTCTAAATCCCAGTGAAGTTGTCACTGTGGTAAGCGTGTATGTCAGTGGTTTCTTCAACAGAAAAAGAGTGCTGCATCAAGGTCATCAGTAGAGAGAGAAGGCAATATACCAAAACTGAGCCATATCACATAGATATAAGGAAAGAATTTGGGTTCAGAATCTCTAGGGGACTGTCAGCTGAACTCTCCAGTGTGAACGGTGTTTTTGTGTGTCCATTTATTTAGCCCTTCTTTTTTTTTTTTTTTCCCCAGCTTTTTTTTTTCCCTAGTAAATGTATGAAAGTAATTTCTTGTCTTTTACTGAACGAACTGGGTTAGTATTTTAACAGAGACTCTATTAACTTTGGAAGTGGATAGCTCCTACTGCATGTGCTAACATAGTTTATCGAGACACTGCAGTTAGGCATGTTCATTCCTCCAGTCCTTTCTGAGATGATGCAGTTATAGCTTGTGTTAACAACAACATGGGGCAGTCCACTGTACTGGAAATACATCATGGATATGTGGTCAGTAACCAATATGTAAAATCTGATTCACTGGGTGGTAGTTTTGTTGTGTTGGCTCTGTGTGTGTGTGTGTGTGTGTGTGTGTGTGTGTGTGTATTTTGAAAAGCTAGTACACGAGTTCTCATCATCAAAATGACTGACTGGGAAGGAAGCTAGTAGAGTGTTAGCAAGGCTTTTGTAGTTGTTAACCAGGTTTTCACCACTTTTTTTCTTTTTTTTTTTTATAGAGTTCACTTGAGTAGTTTTCCATAGGTTTTTTGATTTTTCACATCACAATAAAGGCCCTGACCTACTTCAAGCAAATGTCAGCGCTCTTCCATTACTTCATTTAGGGTTAGCTTTATGTATTATTTCTATTAATTATGTTATTTGCACGTATTGTAGGGTTTTATAAAGCAGTCACATTGATGATTGTCAGAAGATTAAAAATTGTCCCCTAAGGAGATGGACACGATCTTGCAAGTTGTACTAGCAGAAGGTGGCGAAATGTAGCCCGTGCTACATAGCACGATGGCGTTATGGACTACTGGGCAGTGCTGTTCAGAGCTGGGCGTGTGTCTCAGGACGTCACTCAAATCACTGTTCTTCTTCTTCCTGCACGTACGATTGAGTTAATACAGTAGCACTACTGTTGCTTTTTCCCCAGATGTTAACATTGTCCATTTTCAGTGTAGTAGTGGGCTCGAAAGGAAATGCAGCATTTTGTGTTCTGCTTTATGTTGGAAGTTGTGGTTCTCATTTTCTGTGGGTCAGTTGAGTTTTGCTGACCTAGGGGAGCCAGTTCTGTCATTTTGATTCAGGCAAAGCTCCCACTTGGAAGAGTTTACCTCAGTAGGTTTTGACCCAGTTTGTACTGAACTTGTTTGAACCTTTGGCTCCCTATGCCACCAGGCTCTCCATCCCCTGCACTTTACGTTGTCTGTCTTTCTACTCAGAAGAATACATTTATACATTTATTCAGTTCTAAAGCTGTTGAAGAAGAAAAAGGCGAGTATTTGGTATGTGTGTCTGACTCAGGCTTCCTTTTTTTCTGTTTTCTCAAAACGTTTTCCTAGCGCACTTGTCAGTGTGTGTTGCATTGCTCTGAATTCAGAAGAGGCTTCCTTCAGTCATAGTAGACTGAAATCACTGTTGTAGACATGACAAAGGTGGATGTGGCCAGCCATGCAGCAAATACAAATTATTAAAAAAAAAAAAAAGGTAGAAAAGACAAAGAGGTTTGTGGGTCAAGTGTATTTCATGAGAGAAGGGAGTCAGTGGATGTAGGTTTCTTCCTTTCGTTTGGCTGCAAAAAACCATTTCGATGAGCCTGTCCCTTTTTACTGCTGCACAAGGTAAGATAACTAATGTGCCCTATTGACACTGTTTCATTTATTTTACCTACTGTAACATATTTTTGCTCAGGAAATTAAATTTTCACTGTCTGATCCTTTCATCAGTTGTATCTGGTCATGCAGGACTGATGCGGTGTTCTCTTGCCAACCTGGCATTTCTTTTGTGCTCTGTGCCTTTTGACAATGGTCTGCAGTATCTTCGTGTAAAAATTCTTCTAAATGTTACAAGATAGCAGCATGCCTTGAGGGACTCCCTTCCATTTAGAAATAAGCGTTTCAGGATATGCATTATATATCAAATGAGAATATTTTCCAAACTGAAAGTAACTGTATGTCCTATAAAAAAGGATCTATATGCAGTAATAGTTATCTAATGAAGGGCATTCTTGAAATATACCTGCAAGCTAAAGCTGAATTAGCTTTTGTGAGAAGTGATTTTTATCTTGGATTTCAGAAAAACGTGGGAATTCTTCCTGTGCTTTAGATGAAAACTATTAGAAGGGACTAAAATCGCAAAGGAGGTTTTTTTGTTGCATAAATACAAACATATTTCTCTTCAAAGATTTCATCGTCATGTTAGTGAAATTTTCTGCAGTAAGTTCAAAAATAACAAAACTGAAAAAAAAAGATGTAAATCTGTGATAACCACAGACATAATGGTTCCAATTAGACTTTGCAATGATTTTGGCCCTTCACAGTAGTGTGTATTTGAGCATTTGTAATGTTGTCAGTCCTGCTGTGCTAAAAAGCAGAAGCAGACCTATGCTTTTTTGACCTCCTTCCATGCAGAGCCCATGAAGAAACAACTTCCACCTTTGTTCACATCAGTGTAGAACAATCAGAGTTTCATTTTCACTCCTGTAGGTGCATTTTACATCCAAAGGGTCCGTGTTTAAAATAGGATCCACAGCCAGAAAGAGAACGTCCACTTTTCTCATTGCACTTTCCATCTCTGTAGTGCACCACCTCCTCCTTTGTGCCTGTCCTCCCTCCCTGTTGCGTTTCTGGCCAAGAGAACCTTCTATTCTCTTCTCTACAATACCCTGGTTCCAGCAAATAGATAGCAAGTGCATCACACCCCTTGCTGCTCTTGTCCACAGTGATAAACAAAAACTAGTGTGAGGACATCTGCACAGCACTAGATCTTGCAGTCCTGAATGTTCTCGGGAGAGAGTTGGCTCCTGGGCTGTCACGTGCTGTGACATTTCTTCATCCTCTGAAACTTATCTTTTGGAAACAGTGAGCCCCCTCAGATCTGTCACTGCATTTTGTGGAAGTTTCTATCGAGAAGAAACCTGTGGTTATGCACTGCAGGTGGATCAAGACAAAAAGATGCTTCACTGCAACCTTGTTGCCAGGCCTGAAGTACTAGGGAAAGGTGGGAGGCAAGGTTCAGCCCTGCATTTAGCGTCTCTTATTGCAGGGCTCTGCAGTTTCCTGCTCAGCAGAGGCAGGCGGCTGGTACATTTCTCTACACCTTGCTTTTAAACACACTTGAAGTCCTGAATCTGTGTTTTAGATTACACTACAGGGGTGGAGCATCTAAATTTTCAGTAGTTCAAGGCAATGTTTATGTCCTGAACAAAATTGTAGGTATGACTCCTATAAAGTTCTTTGGGCATTATTTGTATTTGTGCATAGGTGCACTTAACATACATTCATTACTGGTCAGACCAGCTCAGGGCTGTCACAGACTCTGACACAAGGATAGTCTTTCTTTTACAGCACAGGAAGACATTTTGGAGCTATTAATATTAAGATTGATGAATAATTTTTCTTTCTCTTTTTTTTTTTTTTTTTTTTTTGTGTGGGGGTTTTTTTTTTTTTTTTGTTGGTTTTTTTTTGTTGTTGTTGTTTTTGTTTTTCCACTACTTGAGCCTAATAGGGTTAATATTACAGCATCCTTTTCTGGGGCAGAGGAAACACTAATCAATACATTAACAAACTTCTGCTGCCATGTTGGGGCAGAAAGCAGAGGATGCTTTTTTTTTTTTATGATACAGCTGTTATCTTGTTATGGTGTGCTAAATAAAGATACTTGAAACTTACTGTTATTTGCCAGGAAGAAGCTTAGAGCTCTTAGTGATGGGATCGGTTTGGTCACAGGGTGTGACCAGATGATAGAGGTGGATAAAAATGGCTTTCTAAAGCCTGGTAGTGGTAGTAACAGCAGCATTCATGAGCCTTTGGGTTGCACACAGAGATCTGGCTAGTACCAGTTATTCTGTCTTTGTTAAAGGGTTGCTTCCTCACTCATTGCTTTCTATCTGTGAGGAAAGTTTTGGAAGCTCTGGGGATCTTTAAGTTGTAATTGTCTGGAGAAAGATCAGGGTACGCTCAGCATGGACTCTTTCCTGACGCTGCTAGGAAATCCAGTGGGTTAGCTGCAGCTGCCACAGGCAACAACAAGTTGCAAAAAAATGGACTTGAGATGTATTTTCTCTCATACTAGAATTCTAGTTTTTCATGGCTCAATTCGTGGTCAGAGCGGACTGTAGCCAGGTCTCCTCTTCAGGTCTGTATGGGTCAGTCATTTTTGTTGCGCTGTATTATTTTTGTCCTGGAAGAGCAAACCCAGGCTATCTCTCCCTGTAGCTGTCAGTAGATGGTGTTGTCCTGAACTGATTATGTGATTATCTGTGAAGCTACAGCGGCAGGTAAATAAAGGTGTCATTCTGAAGAACTGGTAAACTCTGAGGTGGGAAGCTTTTTCTCCAACAGAAATGAGCCACAACAGTGTGAAATACAGGACCAGCAGAGAGTGCTATGAGCAGCTTTGTGTGGCCTTTTTCAGAAGCAAAAAAAGCTGGCAATTAGACAAAGGCACTTTTGTTTGTTTGTTCATTTTGTTTAACTGTTAATTATAGGAAAAGGAGAGGAGTGAGTACATTTGAAATAGATAAAAACGACAATTGGTGAAAAGCAAACTAGTTTACACTTACAATTAAAGGACTTACAACAAAAAAAACACACCTTGATGACTGCAGTTGACACCTGGTGACGAGGAATACAAAAGAATACAACTGTTGGGATAGTCCAAAAGTTTTTAGAACAGCCAGTGGAAGTTGTGAGATGTGGTTTGTGTACAATGTCTATTCCTCTAAATAATGAGTGCAGTCTGGAAATTAGTTTACTCCGGCTGTTGGTTCCCAGCGTTCACAGACCTTGCAGGAAGTGCCAGATTCATGGCACGTGTTAAAACACACAGCTGCCCCATCCCTCCATCCTGCATTACTTTGCAGCTTGGCTGATTTCACCCACTCTGCAGTATGACACAGTGGCTTGCTGGTGCATGCATCCATCCTGTCTTGCCGTGTTTCTGTCTGTCTGTCCTGCAGTTTTTGTCTGTGTGTCTATTTGTAGATGCAGGGGCGGAGGATAAGGTGGGACCGCTGTGCCCAGGCTGCGGGCCTGCTGCCAGCAGGGAGTGGCGTAAAGGCCTGGCCCCCTCCATCTCAGTGTCTGTAGCCGATGATGAGCCCTACAATTCGGATGAGGAGTACTATGAGCACCCTTTGTTCAGCTCAGAGTGGACTGGCTCTTGTACACATCCCAGTGCCACAGTGAAGAGCACAGAGGTCTTGTTGGGCTATGATGAAGGTGAACTGAGCATGGTCCCATTTTGTTCCTCTTCCCCTCTACCCACCTGCCATCCATTCCATTATATGTGTGCCTGGGATTGCTGCTTTCTGGGGGAGGAAAGTGTCTGACTCCCAAGTCTTTCATTCTCAAAGTGAAGCTGCAGTGTGAACATTGAATGCTATTTTGGTGTCAGTGAAACCATGCTTAAACCATGTAGGTCTACTGGCCAAGTTGATGGCAGATGCAAAAACAGCAGGCACTAATTTGTACTTTGTGACAGTGAATCACAGCTAGGAACAGTGTTTAGAGTGGGTTAGAAGGTTGTTACCGAAGTTAAGTCAGCTGAGTTAAACTCATACCTGTACTAGAGTTAGCAGTGGAGGATCTTTAGTTCTTCACTAGACAGAGGAAATCAGTTTTTTTTTCCCCAGCACATACTGGTGTCTTCAGGCAGTACTGGGTCACGTTTGATCTCTGGCTGTTCTGTGGATGCACCCAGTCAACACTGTCAGCTGGCTGCAAACAAGGCAGATGTATTAAAAAGTTTGCTATTTCTTTGTTCCTGTACCCCTTCCTTCTGCAGCCTAGGTCCATCAGTAAGTATTATTTTACTTGTGGAGTTTACATAAAATCAACATTTTAGGAGTCGAGGGAGAATCTGTTTCAGTGTCTAATGAGAATTGTGACTTCTTATCCAAAGCAAAATGAATCATGTTTCATCAGGCAGTATTTGATTAACTTAATCTTGAGAGACAGGAGGTGAAGTTAAAAGCAGATCTGAATTCTCTGGGGATGTGTGTCTGAGGAAGGCGGAGGTCTGTGACTGAAATAGCTCAGTGGGGCATTTCAAGAGCAGGAGGCTTGTCCACAGTTAACAGGATAATGTAGCCCAGTAGTGCAGCAACACCAGAATGAGAGCAATGCAAATAACTGCATACTGTTACGTCAGGATATCTGCCTGAAGCTGGGAGAGTCAGAAAATCACAGGCGTAGCCTTACTGTAGGTGGGTTTCTGCATTTGTTCTTAAAACATTCCTGCTTTTTAGTTCGTAAGCAGCATAATTGCCAATCATGCACATCCACATCTAGTGAAATCGTTTGCTGATGCAAACTTTTGATATTGTTAGCATTGTTTATGTACCAGGTTGTTTGCCTCTGCATATACCTGTGCTTATCCATTCTTGAAAACCTTTTCATTTGCAGCCATTGCCAGATCTTTTCCAGCTGCTGCAATGAAGTCTATTTACTTCATGCAAGTTCTTTTTCAGTGGTTCTTTTAAGTATCCCTGTTCTCAAAAATTCTGTATGATGAGTTCTAGTAATACTGAGAGAGCCACAGTATTTTCTTTGTGTTAGCGGTGAGGATGGGATTTTTCTTCCCAGATTTTATCCATTTCTGAGCTGTGTGCCTCTATATGTGCTGACTCAGTAAAAGAGGGATCTAATATAGATGATACGATTTGTTCTCTGGGGACTTTGCCACTTTAAAGGAACCTAGGCACTGCTTTGCACCAGAAGCCAAACCTGTAATGTTTCAATGCTAGATATGCACTACTTTTACCTAATTAAGAAAAGACTTACTGAGTAATTAGTTTTAACACATGGCATTGAGTGAAGTAATTGCCATCAAAATGAGGTAAAATAACTTCTTTAATTAAAAGGAATGCACACACACGACTACATAAAATTGGAAAAAACAAGCAGTACAGCAAGTTATTTGAGTAAGGGCCTCTATTGTCTGGACACTTGCTGTTCTGCTGGGCTCCTTTTACAATCTGCCATATGTAAATATCCCTCAGGCATTGGTCCAGTTCCAATTTGGAATCTTCTAGCTTCTGTTCACTTAGATACTGTATCTTTCCCTAACTACATTTTTACATGTTATTAATAATGTTGCACTTTACGTAGTGGTATTTTCTCAGCCTGAAATTTGTGTTCCTTAAATTACTTTCTAAAGGCCGTAACTGAAATGGATGGTTGATTGCCTACCTTTAACTGGGTCAGTCTCAGGAGAAAAATCACGCCCTTGTAAAGAGGTTTAATTTTAATGCCAGGAGATTCAGATTCAAAACCACTTTTTTCTAAGCCTGATTCAGCAAAGTCCTTAAACATGGGACTGTACTTAAAACCCAGAGAGGTTATTAGGTGTATTTGAGTTTGGCTGGTGGTCAGCTGCTTACGAATTTTGCTGAATCGAAGGATTCACACTGAATCCTTATTTCCTATTGGAAGAGATAGTAGCAGAGCAAAGTAATATTCTGTCTGAACAGCAGTGGCAAGATAGAAGGGAGACTTTCTTCCATGGCAAGAGTAGAATAAAGACCGTTCTTGGTACTAGTCTACTGATTCTAGCAACCTGTAGGCAAAGTAATGTATTTCAAAACTTCAGAGGAACGTGGTGTTCATCGGTTTCTTTGGCTTAACTGGTGATGAGGAGAGGAGCCTAGAGGCTAGTGAGGGAGACAGAAAAGCAAATGAAGAGTCCTTGTGTTACACCTCTGATTTTCACATAGGGGGTTCAGATCTCAGGCAGCCCAAGGGCGAAGCAGTTCACAAAGCACTCGGTGTAAGAATCTTGGCTGGACTCTGGTGAAATCATTAGTTCCCAGCTTTGTGCAAGGCTTATTAAGACTGTTCAAGTGGTTGAATGCTTTGCCAAAACCAGGACCCATGTAATTGGCAGACTTGCTGTCATTTAGCAGACGGTAACAGCAAGGGGAAAAAAATTAACAACTCATACTTTACCCCACCTCAATTCAATGTCTCGTACTGGGTTAAACAGCACATCTATCAGAAGTGCACTGATGTTCTCAGAGCCATCCATCGTTCAATATCATCTCCATTTCCAATGAACATTTGACCCACAGTCGTCTTTGGGAGAGGTGTACCTATAAAGCACTTTCAGCTCTCATCTTCCAGCATAAACGTGCTTCTCTGGGGGAGACAAGGTGTTCTGGGGTTTGTTCGGTATTTTTTCTTTGGGAAAAATCAATTCTATTGCAATTAAAATGCGCTGGATTCTAGCAAACCCTAGAAATCTGAAATGTTCAGAGCTGAAAGTGTTAAGAAAACCAGTCGTGTTGAGCTTTGTGCTTGGTGTTTACTGTTGGTGTTGATGTCGCCTCCTTTTTCCATCTCCAAGAAGAAGAACCAGTAGAGAGTCCGATGGCTGTGGAAGTGAAACCTGCTGCTCTTCCTGGGACGCAACTGGGGAAAGAGCATGGGCCCACTGAGCCTTCAGAGCAGGCCAAGGGCCTCGGTGAGGGTCGGCCGGATTTTGGTTTGGAGGCCACAGTGTGTCACGAAGACAAAATACCAAGTGTGGCATCCAGCAGGGAGAGCCTAACAGTTGTGGGGGAAATGCCTCTGAAAGACACATCCCCTTCCTTGGCTGCGGAAGGTGTGTCCTCCGTAGGACTGCATGTGTTTGCTGCCAGTGAATCTTCCAGCTTTCTCCAGTGCTTTTCAAGGCTGCTTCATTTCCTGTTCTTTCCATTAATTAGTATGACTGCTCTTGTTATTATGCTTGAAGAGTGTGTAGCAGATACTATGGTTGCATAGGTGCTGTATGACAACATGGTTTCCCGCTGCTGCAGCTGATTCCTTTTTTTTCTTTTTACCTTGCCATGATACAAGTGCTTTGCAGCTAAGCCGATTGCTCTGCGCAGGCCTTTTGCCCCCCATCTCAGACATGTTTGCCAGTCACATTGCTAATGTTTGTATATTTTTTTTCTTTTTGGTGCGGAGATTCATCTGCTTTTCTTTCAGAAAGTAGATTTAATGAATTTAACTATGACATAAAGAGGCTTGAATTGTAGAAATGTTTTCATTTGCAGCGTGCAGTATATTTCTGTGTGTGTGCTTCTGTGCATTCTGGTTTAGCTTCCCTAAAGCTATTGCTTCTTATGTCATATCCTTGCCATTCATTGCAGCCCACCCCTTCTCCCTCGATCATTGCAAAAACTCTGGGTTTTTTTGCGTGTCTTACCTTATTGCAAAGATTTACCCTGACCGGAGTGCCCTGCTCAGACAAAGCCCCATCAACTGCACTGAGATACTCACCTTCTTCATGAAGTTTAGGATGGGGTGTAAAGCATCAAGTTCTGATCTGCTTACTGTGACAAAGTATTTACTCCAAGCAATTGTCTTTCAGTACACGAGAACTAGGCTTCAAGATTGTCCTTTTCATGGCATTTCTCGTCAGTCAGCGTAACAAGGTGTAAAGACACATTGCATGGAGTAGTGACATAGCCATCCACTCAGTACCCGGTGAAGAAGGGCTGCATCTGGGAAGCTGGCTTTCCATCAGACCCACCTAAAGAAAATTAAATTCCCTTGGCAGTCAGAATATCTTTAGGTGCCATTGGTGTTGTACATTGGTGCTAGAGTAAAAGGCACGATAGGATACGCAAGAAAAGTCAGTATCTAGTTAATCCATGTCTGTGAAAGAAGGATGACATCTGCTCAGTGGCTTTGTTTTTATACTTCATGGGGCCTGCAAGTCATGAAATGTAAAAACACAAAGGATTAAAAAGTATTGGAGGTGTAGAATTCTGTTTTCTTTCTACCTGCAGAATGTAGAATGGCAGTAGCTTTTTTAACTTTGCATGCAAATATTTAAAGAATGACCTGTAGTTTGATAGTAGTTATTCTGACAAATTCATATTCATCTGAGTCAGAAAATGGCTCCATGGGCTTTAAATCAGATGTAAGGAGATTCAGATTTGGCCCAATGCTTGCTGTAATAAGTTTTAGAAAGAAAAACTTGTAAATGCTTATTTGCAGACTAATGCAGAAAGTATTCTGCTGTATTTCTTTTTCCCATATGATAGGAATCATCATTTTCCAAAGGATATATAAAAAAAAAATATGGTATTAATGATTAATAGAGTATATATAAAAATAACTAGGTAGTATTCCATACAAATATAGTGACATGTTGTAAGTGTAGTATTTTCAGTTTTAAATCAACTTAATTAAGGCTGTGCTACAGTCATTGAAACATGGCTGGTATTCAGTTACAGCTGAAGATGACTGGCCATGCTGGAGACCTCTGAGTCTAGAGCTGTTCATAGCTCTGCTGCCCATTTACACTTTCATGGCAGCAGTGAGATTCTTCCATTTGCCAAGGGATGAATGTCGAAAGCTGATGCAGCTAAAACAGTAGCTTCTTCTGACACGCCTCTTGTACGTGTTACTGCTTTAGCTTAGCACACGTGTGGTTGAGAAAGGTAAAATAAATACAGAAATGTGTTTGTTTAAATGTAAGCAGCACACAGTGATACTGTTCGTTGGACTTAATCTTACGAAACTTAGAAAAGCAAACTAACATAAGCCTCAGAGTACAGCAGAAATTGCCAGTGAAGTGAGGATTATTTCTGGTTTGTTTTTGTATACAAACAGGGAAGATGAAGTTGTCATGTGAAATGATCTAATTTCAGTTGCCACTTTTACTTGTGTGCAAGTCACATTTTCACTGCAAAATATCATATATTGAAAGGAAACTAGGATTTAATGCTTTAAAGCAGATTTCTGTGTGGATAGCCTTGCTGCATGTTCGCATATTTTTCCCTCTCCATCATTCATACCAAGATGTTCTATACACCACATGACTGCCTGCCTGTAAGTGCTTTGAATAATTTTATTATGAAACCCAAACAAACTACTTCAGATTTAATTGCAGCCACGAAGATGGAATTCCATGTCCAGGAGGGCACGTGCCCTTTCACAACAGATCCATTAGACACAAAGCGACAGGAATCTGGAAAAGACAGTAAGACTGAGCAACCTAAACATGATGCCTTAGTTCCACAGCCAGCAAAAACAGAGGCTACAGATAAAAAGGATTCACAGAGCAAAGACAGAGAAAAAATGCCTTCACCTCTATCAGAACAGATCTTGGAAACTGATTCACAGAAGAAATCGGAAGCCAGTTTTGCAGAACCTCCTGCCAAGCTTCCTATTTCTCAAGTGCAAAAGGACTTGCCATCTGAATTGCCTAAAGGGAGCAAAACAGAAGAAAGGACTGCAGAGAAGCCCTCATCATCCAACCAAGTTCTATCTGTGACATTTAAAGATGACCTTAAAGATGTCCAAGATCTTGCCGTCAGCCATGATGGAAGTTCTCTGTTCACATCAGAACCCAAGATAGAAGCAGCCAAAAGTGAACTGCCTTCAGACCCATCTCTTGCTATCCCCCAGGATCTTCCCCTCAAAGACAGTGCCAAAATAAAACCTGAACCTGCTGACCAACTGCCTGCCAAAGAACTTGCTGAAGACGAACAGGCCCACAGAGGCATGACCCTAACTCTGCAAGAAGTCTCAACAGTAACTGTAGATGGCCTGAAAACACCAAGCACGCAGAAAATTCCTGCATGGGGGCAGGAAAAGGACATGACCAAGGATGAGACCGATGAGGAAGAAAGGTATGACTTCTATGATAAAGGGGAGGCTCGAATATTAGATGATGCTAAATTTACCACAAAGACTGAAGTTGAGACACTTCCCCCACACAAAGCAGACTTCCCAAAGGATGGTGAAACTAAAATGTCTGATCTTTTCAAGGCAGAAAAAGAAATGGACCAAAGTGGGCTCCAAGCAACAACAGCTATGAAAAAGGACGTGCAGCCAAGCACAGAGGTATCCCCTGGCAAATTAAGCCATGTGCCGCTCCCTGAGAAAACAACTGAGCACCCTGATACTCCACAGTTATCCCAAATAACAGAGAAGAGCCCTGAGGCACCAAGTTCAACCGCTGATAAGGCTCCTGCTCCAGAACCTTCTCAAGAGAAAGATGTTAAAAAAGAAACCAAGGAGGATAAGGAAAGTGTTTCAGCTACTCATGAAATGAAAACAGAAGTGGATCGATCGGGAATGTCCAAGTATTTTGAAACCTCTGCCCTGAAAGAGGAAGCCTTCAAAACAGACACTCTAAAACAAGGCAGCGATTACTATGAGCTAAGTGACACTAAAGAGAGTGCGTATGAGACTTACCAGGCAGATCGTCTGATACCTGAAGACAAAGAGGAAGAGGAGGAAGAATTACAGATGGAATTGGATCAGCAGCAGAGTATGCCTGCTCGTGAAATAGGGTACAGTACCCTGGCTCAGAGCTATACACCAGACAAATCTGAAGAACCAAGTTCCCCAACAGAAAGAATGTTCACTATTGATCCCAAAGTCTATGGGGATAAGCGAGAGCTCCACAGCAAAAATAAAGATGACCTAACTCTGAGCAGGAGCCTGGGACTTGGGGGCAGATCTGCTATTGAGCAGAGAAGTATGTCTATTAACCTGCCCATGTCCTGCCTGGATTCTATAGCTCTGGGATTTAGCTTTGGCCGTGCACATGATCTTTCTCCCCTTGCATCAGATATTCTAACTAACACTAGTGGAAGTATGGATGAAGGCGATGACTACTTGCCAGCAACCACACCAGCAATGGAGAGGGCCCCTTGTTTCCCCATTGATAGCAGAGAAGAAGATGAGCACGTTGAAGAAGAAAAAGCAATGACAGAAGAAAAAGTCCAGCCTGAGACCTTGGTTGAATCGCCTTTCCCAGCCAAAGACTATTACAAAAATGGTGCTGTCTTGGCTCCTGACCTGCCTGAAATGTTAGATTTAGCAGGGACAAGATCCAGAGTAGCATCGGTGAGTGCAGATGCTGAGGTGGCACAGAAGAAGTCGGTTCCTTCTGATGCTGTGGTGGAAGAGAGCAGCACTGCCCTGACATCTGTGACAGATGAAAACCATGTAACTCTAAAAGCTGAAAGTCAGCTAGAAGACTTGGGCTACTGTGTTTTCAATAAGTACACAGTCCCGCTCCCTTCTCCAGTGCAGGACAGTGAGAATTTAACAAGTGAAACCTGTCCCTTTTATGAAGGTGCAGATGAAAAATTGAGACGCAGCCTAGCTCCTGACCTGTCTTTAATAGAAGTGAAGCTGGCAGCAGCTGAAAAATCCAAAGAAGAATTCCTCAGTGAAAAAGACTTGACGCAGCATGCGACTGGTGAGTCTTTTCTAGCGAGGGACTTCGAGCAGGAGAAAAAAGAGAAGCTCGATACTGTGTTGGAAAAAAGTGAAGATCAAGCTGACTTTAAAGAGGGCTATTCCATTAAAGATTCAGAGTCAGAGAAGGCAAAACCTGAGACAGTCTTAGAAATGAAAGAGGAAGCCGTGTCTGATAAAGTTCATGTCCCCGATGATACCACCTACGACAGAATATTAGCTACACAGGTAACAGCAGAAAGAGATGCTATTTCTTTCTTGATGGAGAAGGAGAAGACTCTTAGTGTTGTTCCTGAAATAGCTGAGATAGAAGCTCCAATAAAACCAGACTACAATGCCATAAAGCATGATATGGAAGTGGCTGCCAGGAGAGCTGACCAAGAATATCAGAATCAGCTAGATAGTAGGATCAGTGAGGTTGATTCTCTCCCTTCAGGGAAGGACAAAGCCCCTGTTAAAAAAACAGAGCCTGAGCCCAAAGAAGCTCAACAGAAAGATCAGATCATCTTGTCTAGAGAAGCAAAGGATGCAGATTTACTTTCCAAGACCGAGCCTAGTTATGTGAAGGACAGCACCAAACTGTCTGAAACAGAAATTAAGGAGAAAGTAGCTAAGCCTGATCTGGTACACCAAGAGGCAGTTGATAAAGAAGAATCTTATGAATCTAGTGGAGAACATGATCAAACCCAAGAAAGTTTGAACGGAGAACCCTTGAAACAGGAGGATATCAAAGGAGAAGCTCCAAAACCATCTGTGTCTGAGGAAGAGGTGTCTACGCAGTTGCCAGCAAAGGAACCTTCCACAGAGCTCCTCCTTCCAAAAGCTGAGCCTCCCCAGGAAGAGCATGCTGAGATTCAGATGGAGAGCATCCCACAGCCTCCAGAGGAAACTGAAAAGATTCCTGATACAGTTGTGAAACCTACAGAGGTCCAAACATTGCTGCCATCAGAAGTGACAGCTGAGGCCACAAAAAGAGAAGACCACGAGGAAGAGAAGTTAGGTGGACAAGAAGAGAAAGAAGAGGATAAACATCATCTTGTATCAGAAATACCCCCAGAAATGGACTTTGGGAAACCTACTGATGAAAAATTGCTAGCCAAGGTTTGCCCAGAAGCACTGCCTGAACTGAAAGGCATTATTGAATCAGTCGTGACAGTAGAGGATGACTTTATCACAGTGGTGCAGACAACAGTTGATGAGGGCGAATCTGCTTCTCACAGTGTACGTTTTGCTGCTACCCAGCAGGAAGACATTGAAGCAGTGGACTCCCAGGCTGAAGAGGAGCTGGAGATTGAGGAAGTGGTTGACATTCAAGCTGAGCCAAGGGAGGGCTCCCCAGAAGCTCCTGCTTCACCTGAGAGAGAAGAAATCTTGCTCACTGACTACAAAACGGAAACGTGTGATGATTACAAAGATGAAACAACAGTTGATGACTCCATCATGGACACAGACAGTCTCTGGGCAGATACTCAAGGTGTGCATTATCCTTTTTGTTTTGTGTGTTTAATATTTTTGCTTCCAAACCGTAATGATCAAAAAGCAAAATTATTGTAGCTGTAGTAATAATTTCAGCATGTTTAAAGAATGGTAGAATTGCCTACCTTTTTTTTTTTTTTAATTAATCCATCTGCTCAGTCTTAAATTATTATTTTACCCTGCATCCACTGCAGTATTGCTAACATTTGTTACTAATCTTCTGTTTGTTGTTACAATGTGCTCTGATCCTACAGATGATGATAGGAGCATCATGACTGAACAGTTAGAGACTGTTCCTAAAGAGGAGAAGGCAGAGAGAGAATTGCGAAGATCATCTCTCGATAAGCATAAAAAAGAGAAACCTTTTAAAACTGGGAGAGGCAGGATTTCTACTCCTGAAAGGAAAATAGCTAAAAAGGAACCTAGCACACTCTCCAGAGATGAAGTGAGAAGGAAAAAAGGTTCATTTAACACTCCCTCTTACTATATATATATATAATTTAATTTTTTTTTGTAGTATCGTGCAGTATCGTTAGGTTACTCTGTTGTAGTTGATGTGCATCTTAACACTATTATGTGCGGTGCTATTTAATGAGACACTGTACAGTTATGTGAAAAGCCATGTGCAAGGCTCACTGCTCCACCAGTCTCAGTTCACTGTAGGAATCCCCACAGAGTTTTGGGAAGCACATCTGAGATGAATGCATCAGTGCATCAGTGCATCAGTCTTCCAACTCAGCTTGGATCACCTCAGTAGAAACACTGCTTAGAGCTGCAGTTGTGGAGCAGTGGGCCTGCCACTTGATGTACTGTATGAAACTTTGCTGTTTTTTTCCTGATTATGTGTTTTTGTGTTTTCTTGTCCATAGCAGTGTATAAGAAAGCTGAACTTGCTAAAAAAACTGAAGTTCAGGCCCACTCTCCCTCCAGGAAAATCATTTTAAAACCTGCTATCAAATATACTAGACCAACTCATCTCTCCTGTGTTAAACGGAAGCAGACAGGTGACTGCATTCTGTTCAGTTATGCAATGTGGCTGGCAAACATAGACTTTTTTTTTTAATTTCATGGCTATAGCAGCTTTTCTCTTTTTTAGTTATTATTCCTCCAAGACTATCTTCACAAATGGTATTGCTTTTTTCATTTTTTTTATCATTTTTTTTTTCTTTCCTGGTATTTGTTTGTTTAAAGGAGGTCATGATCATGTGTGCTTGTCATTGCTTGGACTTCCAAGTGCTGTGGTTGTAACTTGGCATCATGCTTATAGTGTGTTGTTCTAGGAGTCTGCTCACCATTTTCTTCTTTTGTTTCCTTCTTCTTTTCTTATGCCTTTTTTTTCTGGTGGGAAAATGTTGACAGCTTAAACCATGGTATGCATTTCCATTATTTTGCTTTACTCTCCTGCATAATAAGAAGTGTTTCAGACTTGTATTTTGTTGATCGATGTTATCTGCCTTTACACTTTCCACTCTGTTACTGATGTTTATGCTGTACAGTCAAAATCCACAGGGGAAATCCATCCACATGCAGCATGAAGCTGAGAGAGAAGGAATCTGGACTCACACTACAATTGCATTTCAGTCAAAAAATTAGTATTTGGTAGGGGAAAGTGAACTAAAGTTTAATATAGATTAAAACAACTCTTTTTCAATATGTTTTACTATTTACAGCAGTTACAACTTCTTGTATTCTTGCACAAGACCAGAGGGAGGATTCAGTAAGTGTTGGAAATGGGGAGTTGATTGTTCATGTCACAAAAAGCGTGTTGGCTTTGTAGCATTCTAACTCTGACTGCATTTCTGCAGTTATGTGGTCAGTGCTGTCTTGCCTTCTCATACTCTAACTCTTCTCAACTATTCTGGCCCAGCAGCATCTCTCAGACCTGAGTCATCCCAGTAGTCTTGCATAACAAAACCTGCTCAGTGCCTTGAGTGAATGTGTGCTGCCTGGCAACAGTCAAAGCTTTTTTCTTCCCCTCTTAATAAGCAGCGTGGCAGATGTATTAAATGAAGTGAGAAATGTAAAGCAAGAATGACATCTCAGTACATTTAAACACAGAGATAGAATCAAACACAAAACAAAACAACAACAAAAAAAGGGACTCAGATTGGTCATAAAATTCACAGTGATGTTGATTTGGGCTCTAAAGCCAAATGGTATGCCACAAAGTGAACAAAAATATCTGTAAAACCGTTTCACCATGCTCACTGTTGCTGGAAAACTCAGTTATCCCTTATTGTCTTCTACCTCCCCTCTTTCTGCTTAATGAGGGGAGTTGAAGAGACACCATGTGCAAGTTTGTCATATAGCACTGCACACCAAGAGTGTAGGCACCATATGTTAACATACATATCCCTGAGCCTAAACCAGTCGTTCAGTTCTTTCCGGGATCAGGAACTTAGAGGGGCATTGTTTCACTCATGTTTTCTATTATGTAAAACATAGCACCGTTTCTTGAAGCCAGTTTCAGCTGTCAGTACATCCTATTTGGACTGGTCCTCTCAACTTGTTTGATGCTTGGCCAATGGGGTCCCACCAAAACACTGCAGTCTGTGCACCTGAAGTAAATTCCAGTTAGTTAAAACCTCAGTGTTGCCTTTTCTGTGTCTTCAAAATGAAACACATCCAACCATAAGATACAAGAGTCCATAACAGGAAGTTAGTATTTGCTCAGATTTTCTACATAGTGGGCCAGGAAATTAAGTCATTCTGTTCCTCTCAATAACAGAAAAGAAAATTCCCGTGTCACCGTGAGGTAAGTGCTGACAAATACTGGTAACTTATACTGCCATATTTTCCAAGGAAGGACTGTTGTTTTAGATTCATCCTTGACATTTGAACAAGAAATTGTGTGGCCAAGTCCAAGGAAATCTTTGAAATTGAAATCTTTGCCGTTACTGATGTAGTTATGGGAGGGAAACCCCGCTTTGACTCATGCTTTGTGGCTGTGAGTTGCTGCTGCTGTTGTGCCATCAGAGGCGTGGTTTTGGGGCAAGGCCAGGCCAACTGCTTGGCTATGAGCAGGAGTCAGCACGCGATCCACTTCTGTTGCAAGTCTTCAGTTGTGCTGTCCCTTAAGAGGTAAAAGATGCTTGTTCTGTACTTAAACTGCTAGCAGACACGTAGAGATCTTTTGTTCAGATGGAGAAGTTGTGGTGCTATCAGGTAAGTCAGCAGGAGCAGCACAGCTATGCTTTCCACTTCAAAGTGGTGGCTGATTAGGTCTCAATACCAAAGGAAGGAGGAAAGATATAATTTGTGATTATTTTGAAGAGATGCAGAACTGACCAAAGCCAGCCATAGCAGATGGGGTAAAATGTGATACTGAAGGACTATGCTGCACTTATCACTGGTACAAATCCAAAAGTATAGTATGTAGCTATACGTTTTTTTTCCTCCTCATAAGCTTTCTTTCCTACTTGTTCAGTTTAGAAGGAGATTATTCTAAGAGGACCCAGCTACTGAGTGGGATGTGTGGCAAGAAACCAGAAATCCCCTCGCCATGCTTAGAAACTGCACAGAGAGAGGAGAAAGTTGAATGTCTCTGTCCTGTACAATGTGTTAGGGCTGCTGTAACAGCCCAATCCTGTTGGGATTACTACTAGAGGATGTCATGTGTGCCCACTGTCTTGTTTCTGCATTTTCTAAGGATCCCTGTGGCAGAGATGCCAAAGGATTTGATATCTAGATAGATTTTAGGCAGTGAATTACTTCTAGAACAGCATCATCAGGGTGAAACTAATAGCCTGCTTTCTGAAAAGCTCCCCTATTCCACAACTTTGTAAGGATGGAATCCGACCCAGAGAGGAAAATCTTAAGTTATGTTGCATCAGAGAAATGAAATAGTGAATTAAAATACTTGATGTCCCAGGTATAATTTGAATGCTAAAGTGTGAGAGCTTGGTTGAGCTATGACGCACTGACCATAGTGGCTGACCGCACTGACCATCCAGCTGGGATGGTAATTCACCAGACAATCTCTCTCTTTCCAACTGGAATTTTGGCTAGTATTTTAAATAGGGGTGATTTCAGCGTCCTTTATTTTGAAATTTTTGTTAGTGGATTACTTAAGGGAGCCTGATTTTTACAGGACAGTTGTTCAGTGCTCTCTGAAGATCAGTTGGTAAGGGGTATCTTGAGACGAACCTTCGGAACTAGAGCCTCTTTTAGTTGGCCTTGGAACTTTTTACTGTGATTCTTAGATCTCCAGGTACATGAATACAAAAGCTGGATTTCTTTGACATATGTAAAGTACAATTTTAACTCAAGTGCAATGAATATAAGACATTTTTAGGATGAGTTCACTGAGACATATTCACAAGATAATTGCTTTGCATTGTAGTTCCAAGGTATATGAGCGTTCTAACAAGTATGCTAAGTGGAAATGCTTATTATTACTGTTATTTTTAACCATCAAGTCTTTCTTTGGGTCTCTCAGCAGCAGTTGGTGAAACAAACCAGGCTCCTGGTGTATTTAAACAAGCAAAGGAAAAACTCTCAGTGAGTAAAATCGTCTTATTGTCTTTCTTAATAATCCTCCTTTGTGCTCATTTCAGATCATTTTGTGTTAATTCAGTTCTTCATTTTTTCCATTTAGAAATTGTTTTCCATGTTCATTATTCGTTTAAAAGGGTAATTAAAATCACCTTTCCTGGATAACAGTACCAACTAGCTCTGAATAACCGTCCCAGAGAGTAGATGATGACAGTTTGCAGACGTAGAAAGGCACACAGGCTCCAAACTGCAGGGATTGGATGCTGTTCAGCACTTTGAGCCAGGTCATCCTCTGGGATAACCTGTGTCCCTTGAACCTTTCCACAGTACACAACTCAGACACCTTGCTTGATTGCTGCCTAGGCAGAAACCCTCGTCCAGGACTCACTAGATGTATTCTGATACACTGTTAACTTATCTGTGCATTCTGTGACTGTCATACCTGTGTATAAATGACGGACCAGTAGCATTTTGTATATGAATAAGAGCTTCCTACTTGACTGTTGTGGACTGCTAATTTCTGTGTTTTAACCTGACAGTTACGTGTCCTGTCTTCAGCTGCTCTGCAGCCTGTACTGCTTTCTGCATTTACTTGTTGTCTGTTGAGTGCCTCTCTTCCTGCTCCCATGCTGACCCGATGCTCTTGTCCCACCACTCTAAAATCCCCAGGAAACCAACCTTCCTTCACTATCCCTTACGCAGATCTTTTCTACACGACACTGACACGTGCTGACTTACATCTGCAGCACAAACCTTTGTCATTGTTTGCCATCATTCACAGCACATCAGTTCCTTAGGATTATCCTCTATTTCCTACTGTATTCCATGGCTGATTTGTTTCGCTTACCTAACCAGATTGTCATTTCTTTGGGAAGCTGTCTTCAAAGTGCTACATGTTGCTTATTAGCTGCAAGAAACGATTAATGATGATAGCAGCATAACTGATCTGAGGCTGTGAAGGAGTGGTGAAATTTAGAAGCCATGACTAAATTCCAGTCTAGGATTTCATGTGATTTTAGAGGCCTGACTCATTTCAGCTTATGACTGGGAAACTGCTAGAACTTCTTTACTAGTTCTGTAAGAAGGTTTTTAGTCTTAGTCAACAGTTACTCTCTTTTCTCAGAGGGACAATAAACACTTATCCAAAAGAAGTCAATACTAGCACATTTTCAGACTCGTCTGTTTTCATGGAGGGCTTTAAGGAAAAGCACAGCAAAACCATTCTCTGAAATGATCTGCTTTCTGGGCACCTTTCTTATCCCTGTCTTTTACTCTGTGCCAAAGATCAGAAGTTTAGTCCCTGCTTACCTTCTCTCCCTGTTGCTTCCCTACTCTGATTACTATCTTCACTCTTCTGGATGTTTTCTGTTTTACGCCTTGTCCTCTCTTTTCTTGTTGTTGTCCTTTCTTCCTGATTTTCAGCTTCTTTATCGTTCAGGTGCAGCCTTTTCTTCTCCACTGGTAATGTTAGATCATCCAACCCAGTCAGTTTGTTATGCACCTTCAAACTGCACTTCTCTTACTCCTTTGCATAAGAAATTCAGGAAAGGCTTCACAGTTCCATCTGCTGGAAGGAGCTGTATGCCCATGTTTGTGAGATACTGACCATGCCTTAGGAGAGCCTCTGAAATAAATTGCTTCAGCAATCCCTGATTTACTGGGTCTTCATCAACTTCAAGGTTACATAGGTCTTTTTCCTGTGGACAGCTGGCAGGTCCTACAGTATGAATTATAGCAGTTGTTAAAGGTAATGTATTGCTAGAGTAATGAGAATAGCTCTCTGGGTAAAGCACAGGCAGGGACTGAAGTATTTGGTTTCTTTGCTTGCTCTGCCAGTCTTGAGCATCTCACCAAAATCTGTCTGGACCAGATTGGGCTACTATTACTGATGCTAAAAAGTGCTTTGCCTGCCAAGTGAGGGGATCCAGGCTGCAGTAAGCCCAGAGCAATGTATTAGTTGAGGATCACATGTTTGCCCCAGGTGTTCTATTGAAAGATCTCGGTCTTGTCCAACTTCAGTATCCTCATTAGATGCACAAATTTGTGGAGGACAGTATTCAGTATGAGTGAAAAGGATGGGGTCTAGAATCTAAATCTGAAAGGATTTTTCAGTTTTGTTGGAGTCTTGTTGCGCGTGATCATCAACTTGAGAAAATTTGGAAATGACTGAATTAACATTTGGGCCTGCTTAGTTATATCCCAAATTCAGAAAATCTGGTGGACATTACTCACATGTCTGCTTTTTGGAACCGCCCAAGACAGCTGTGCTTTCACATCAATAAAAACCTTAGTGTTCTTATAAGTAAGAGACCAAATTTTCTTGAGTGGATGGTACCTCTAAACTGAATTGTTACAAATCAGTTAAAGCCTGAAGAAGCCCTTGTTGTGACAGAGACACATAGTGTTCAGATTCTGTTTAAAATAATTATTTTTAATATTAATAGATAAATACGTTGCAAAGTTCATGCTAGTAATACATTCTTTCAAGGAAAGCACTCCCATCCTTTGATCTGGTTTCTGATCTTGGTTAATAGAGCTACTGGATGTGGATGGTGATGTCTACAGCTTTGAAGTCCTCAAGGCTTTGTAGTAGGACTGGAATTATGCAGTTCTGAAGCTCTTAATCACGTGGATTAGTACATAAGCACTATTAGCACATACACATACATTCAGCATCCCAGCTTCCATTTTCCATAGGCTAGATACATAGCCTAAACTAGATGCCATTTTATAGTGGCCTGAACAACTCTAAGTGATGTTTCATCCCACTTTCATCTCATTTTCTAAAACAAAACAAAAAGAATAAGTAAACCAACTTGAGGAGTAATTCATGCACTTTTTCTGAACATTAAGTCTAGAGGACTGACTTAAATCAAATGCCAAATTTTTCTTGGTGTAGTTCTCTACCAAATTCCAGGGGGACTGCTCTGATGAGTAACTTCACGCTTGTGTGAATACAGGTAGAATCAGGACTCCATTGCCAAGATAACAGCCTTGCAATTGTTCTTTGTAGTATCAGTTACAGAAGAAAGCAAAGTGTTGCCTGGACAAATAGCCCTATTCTCTTTCAAGGGAGTTTCTTTTGGTGGAGCAGCTGGATGCTCCTAAGCATCGATAGAGAATTTGCTGTCTACTCTGTTGATGTCTAATTGTTCTTTCAATGGAATATTAGCATTATTAAGAATTAGAGCAGTATCTGATCATGATGACACATCTTGTCAGCCTTCCAAGCACAGAAAACTTTCATCATCCCAGAACTCCACATTGTCAATACAGTTTTACATTCAGGATCTTTGTGTGTATGCAGTGGCATAAGAAGCACTGCTGTTAGATCCTTCTGACATCTTGCGAATACTGGTGTGTTTTCAAGATTGCCACTGTTTTACTCGAGTGTAGCCTGGAGGGCTATATTACAAATGCACAAGTTACTTTTTAGAGGCCAGGGCATCATGGTGTGCCTGTAGTTTTGCACTTGTTTCTAATGAAGCCAGCCAGCAGTTGTACCAGCTAAGTGCCATGTCTGGTACAAGTTCTTGTTTAGTAACACATGGAAAAAATAGCATTTGCACAAAAAGGCACCCTCTAGAATCAGTAAATCTCTCCAGACACAGATGGTTTCAGTGGAACAACAGAGATCTAAAACTTTGCCTGTCAGAACTGCATAATCACCGTTACTAGACACAGGAAAATAATTAATTCATTGCTTGGCATTTTATTTTGGTCCATGTTGCATGTGTTTTTCTTTTGTCCAGCTTCATGTTGTGTTTTCTTTTGTTTTCTTGTGACTAGACTGCTTCTTTGTCAAAGATTCCTGCCTCAAAGTCTAGAGCAAAGTCATTGCTTCCTCCAAGACCCAGCTCAGCTTGCTCATTAACTACTAAAAGGGCCACTTTTCTCGATACAGACAGTTATTATGTACGGCCCTCCTCAGCAGGCCCAAGAGACTGCTTGTCCTACTCAAAATCAGATGCTAAGGTAAGGTAGCAGAGTTGGTAGAGAGAGTGAGCTTGGAGATGTGTAGGTAAATTATGTGGATTACAGTCTCTCCCCACTGCGTCTGAGTAATTATTTGTGAAGTTTACCTGGAATTAATTACATCCAGTGGCAGGAGAATTGATTACCAGCCTACAAGATTTGTGCTACAAAGTGGATACGTACAAATCAACGTCTCCAGAGGAAACGTAAGCAAAATAAATAATTAGCAGGTCATACCTTCTTTCTGTTGGGTATGGATGTTATTTCCTTGACTGCTAAGAAGTTATGCCCATTTTGCACATGGGTAAGTGGCAAAAACAGTAGTACTCATTTATCCTGCAGGAAAAGTTTTAAAAAAGGAATTTTCGACCAGTTAATACTTTTTGAAAACAAATTCAGTCCCCATGGAGGAGGGTGCCATTCTTATCACCTTTAACAAGGGCAGAAGCCAAATTCTTTGTACGTGGGACCATGCTGAAGAAGTTGCAGTTCATTCTAGCTTCCCCATATTTACTTTTCACTTGCACTGCAAATCTATCTGATGCTGAGTTGGTGACTGTTATGCTGTGTAAAAGCTGTTTTCACCATGCGTAGTGTGTCTCATACTGTTTGGGACCATCGTTACATTTAATCATCATTAAATCATACATCACCTAATAATGTGGTGTGCGGTGCATCTGTATTGCAGTTACATTGCAGGTGAATTCCCATGAAAATTTGACACCTGAACAGCAGAAGTGTTCTTCTACTTCTGATTTGTACTAAAGCAATACGCCAACCAAGCCAATTCCTCATTAACAACCAGACAAGGAACCTGTCCATGTTTAGATCTAGGAGTATCTGCGTCTGTCTTAAGTAGCTCAGAAGCTTTTGTGTTGTTGAAAATGCTATCTAAGATGGCTTCAGAGGAATTAGTTCACAATCCAGTACTCCACTAGCATCCTCTGCAGTCACTGAGAAATACAGGTTTAATTTCAGTAGGAGTAAAATCAGCCACTGATACATGCTTATTCAAATCCATCGGAAGAGAAAGCTTTGTCTGCTGCAGAGGGAGGGTTTATCTTGAAGTAGCTACAGTGAGATTGGCAAGCTACCACATTTGGGGAACTTGGAGGGAGCTCTCTCCCCAAGAACAAAGTTCTGTCCACCTTGGGCACCAGGGGCAGCCCCCTCCTATGAGTGTTTTCATGCAGTAAAGAAGCACCAAGGAGCTAATCAGAGCATGGGAAGTGGCTAGATCCTCACAGCTTCCTGTGTCCTTAAACTGTGTCTGTAGGATGAGCCTTCCCCTTTGTGTATAGGTTGAGAGAGATTACAATCCAGAGCGTGATGTTTTGAAAACTAAACCTTCCTTTCTTATTTTGCTGCTATTAGGATGGAGTAAGCAAGAGTCCTGAAAAGCGTTCCTCTTTACCAAGACCTTCCTCCATCCTTCCTCCTCGAAGAGCTGTATCAGGAGATCGAGACAGGGAGGAGAACTCTCTCTCCCTCACAACATCCCTCTCTTCTTCAGTACGACGGACCACCCGTATGTTTTTGCTTTTTCTTTTTTGCATATTAGCCCTTTCCTGCTGCCGTGGGTGTCTGCCACTTAAAGAAGGCAATACAAAATATTCTAAGAAATCTTGGAAAAGTGAATCTAATAGTTAAGATAATTAATTTGTTGTTTCGTAGCAGTGATCTTCCTGTGTTCTACTCTAGTCCTGGAGCAAAAGCTCTCAAATGAGATGAGAAGTTAGATAGTAGAGTGACTCACTGGGGGAAATTAGGATAGTAAAATAGCAAGGTCTTTTTGTGAGGACTCATTTTATCAATTCACAGTCTGAAAGAAAATCCAAGGCAAAAAAATAAGTACCAAATATTCCCAAAACTTTTCCCTAGATTTGCTTTTAGTGTATGCCTCATAAACTGTATGTGATTTCCTGCTTTTCGGTAGGCATTCATCTGGCTTTAGAAATCAATTTCTTCCCTTTATAAGAGAGCCTAAGGAAATGGATCATTCAATTCAATTAAAAAAAAAAAAAAAGAAGTCCTTTGAAATTCTTGAGTGATGCCCTAAAACAGAGGCCCTCTGTATGAAGAGTGACCTCTGCCTGGCACAGCAGCTCATTTTGCTGACTAGGAGCAAGAGGTTATCTGGTATTTGCCAATGTGGTTGGAGTGCTGAAGAATGAAAAACAAAATACCAAAGCTGCAGAGCTGGAAAAAAGAAGAATTTCCTTTCCATCTCATTAAGACTATCTAGTTAGGATTGGTTGGGAAAAGAAAGAAACCATTCAGGGAAACTGGAAGTGAAAGTGGAGTATGTTTGATCTATCAGATGAGTCACACACTGCAAAGAGTTTTTCCTGGACACTAGGAGCAGCAGTGCATTGGATTTGCTCCATCAACACTAAATAAACAAACAGAGTGTTTAATGAATCTAATGCAATTTTGATGAGTCTCGCTTCTCTAGGGAGGCCTACTTGATTGGTAATTTCTGATCATTTTAAAGGTGAAACACATATGTACCCATTCAGTGTTGGGGTTCCTGGGCTTTGGGGGTTGGTTTGATCTTTCTCTTCCTTGGTAGTCTTAGGAAAGCCTGCTTTAAGCAGCTTGTGAAGATGTCTCAGCTTCTGTTCATTTGCCCATGAGAGTTACATGTAAAGGTGGCAGCAGAAAGTGCAGTCCCACTACTAATTCTTGCCCTCAATGGAAAGGACAAGTAACGCCATTAAAAGGGGAATGAAGCTGCTAAAAAATGTTACGGTATTTATTTATTTACTAACTTGCATGCAGATGTTGCTAGACCGTGATTTTTAATCAATTTGCTTTTTCACTTCACTACTGAAAAATAGCAATCGAACATGAGGGACATCTGCCTGTCCACACAACAGAGCTATTACTTGTTCATCAGCTGAGTACTTGCCTAGGATAGAGTTGAAGAGGCTAGACTACCACAAGTCGTATGTGAACAGAAGCAGCCAGGCATTCAGAGCCTAGAGTTTCAAGATTACAGACTTTTCACGACCCTAGTTTAACCTCAAATCTATTGAAACTGATGACAGCATTCTTACTGGTGAGTCAGACTGTCCGATCAAGCCCTGAAGGTTGGATTCAGATGGTGCTTCAGTTCTTTTCCTAAGAGGGAAATTGGTGTGTTGATATTGTGCCTTTTATAATGAGCTCTGCAGGAAGCATAGGCTCTGTGGGCAGCACATCTGTATTGCAACGTGGAGAGCTCAGTCATTGTGTGGGTGATTTATCAGACCAGCCACACGTGTCAAAGTAACTCCAGCAGGGTTGATTAGCAAAGGAGATGCAGAGACAGACACCAGTCTGCTGTTTACAGCTCCAGCTGACAGCCATCTCAGAGCTCTGTCTTGTGTGGCAGACAAGGTTGTAGTCTTGGGAAGCACGGAAGGAAGAAGAGCTTGTATTTCTAGGTTGAGATTATGTTTTTTTCTTGCATGTAGGATCAGAACCAATTCGTAGCAGAACAGGAAAAAGTGGAACTTCTACTCCCACTACTCCTGGCTCCACTGCCATTACTCCAGGGACACCACCAAGCTATTCTTCCCGTACACCAGGCACTCCAGGGACACCCAGCTACTCCAGAACCCCACATACTCCTGGAACCCCCAAATCTGCCATACTGGTACCTACTGAGAAAAAAGTTGCCATAATTCGCACTCCTCCTAAGTCTCCAGCAACTCCAAAGCAGCTGCGAGTTATTAACCAGCCTCTACCTGACCTCAAGAATGTCAGGTCCAAAATTGGATCAACAGATAACATCAAATACCAGCCTAAAGGGGGGCAGGTAAGGATTTCAGTCTGTATTTTCATCTGTATGTGATTTAATCTCACCTTTTGGGTTGGTATGGGGCAGGAGCCATTTTAAGTTTCCTTTCAAATGCTACTTCTTTTGTCACTGCCATCTACGTTGGTTGCTTAAGTGATGTTAAATTGCAGTGGTCAGGACTGTATTCAGAAAATCATCTCCACAAAACTGGAGCAGTACCTCACTGAGATCAGGGGAGAAGTTCCCAACAAGAGCTTGCACTCTGTGTCACAGATACATTTCAGAATGACCCTCACCAGTTTTTGCTTCCTTAGTCTTCAACAGCACCAGAAAATTAAGGAAGTTAGCTTTAATTCAGGCAAGTTCAGATTCAACCTAGATAGATTTTAGCAGGATTGCATAGCACCATGACCTTTCCCTGTGTCATTTTGCATGACTTAAGGACTGTGTTGAATGATGTAAATGAATTGCAGCCTCCAACCTGGTAAATCCACCCCAAATTGAAGATGATGGGAGAGCACAACTTAACTGTTCATTCCAACTACTTCAGGGTTGGAATAAGCAGGCTCAGGTCTCACATAAACTGGAGAAGGCATGTACATGAAGAAAAGATGAATGCATAAGAAGGTAAATCAGCATTTTCTGTTCTTGCTGTCTGAAAGCATATGATTTCAGAGATGTTTTGATGCAATTGAAAGTTGAAAAATGAGAGGTTTCATACCTTGCATAGTTGTTACACCCTGAAGCACATGATCATAAAGATTGCTATCAGCTGAAGACTGATAATGTATATGATAACAAAATCCCTTGTTACTAGAGACAGAACTTACTGAATGTTGAAAAGGACAGTGAAGACGTAGACTTTTCAGGTGAGCAGGAGCTTTTGGAGACTGAAGAGAGACAGAGAATACCGTAAATTTTCCTATGTTATGATTTTTATGCCTTCTCCTGAAGAGTATCTGCCAAACAGAGCGATGGGCACAGCTAGAATAGCCTTCTCTCATTTTCAGGCAGTGCAGAATTGGTATCGTGCGTGGCATTAAAACACAAAATTCTGTTCAAGAAAACAGGCTTTCTGCTTGGAAGAACATTTGTTCTAGCTTACAGGACGAAGCAGTCCATTTTATTAATGTTTAAATGGCTTAAACCCATTTACAACCTAAAAGAAATCCTATTTCATTAAGAAACAAAGAGGCTGAATGAGAAGGAGGAAAAATAATATAACCTATCAAAACTTAGGCTAAAAAATGCAGAAAACTCACCCTTATGGCTGTAAACAATTTTGTTGATAAACTTTTTGTAAAAAGTTTTTGTTCATTTTATATCGATTGAGGGCACAACCCCACCACAAAAACAGCCTGTGTCCCCAGCTCTCTTACTTCCCTGAGACTTCTGAGTTACAGCACTGGCAATCTGGGTGCTTTCTGGGCAGGTCCACCTCTCAGCTACCTGCAGGGACAGGACAAGTGTGATAAACACGCTCCCCCATTCAGCTGTCCAGAAGATAAGACATTCTAAAAAGCTGGGTTGCACAGTATTCCCAGATCAGATACTTCTGTAAATTTCTGAGTTTTGGAATACATTGTGGAAGATACACAACAGTTAGGTTGCCTAATGCTGCATCCAAAAAAATAAAGAAACTGAATTAAAAAGGAATATTGCTATACTACATTTACTGCAGGTCTTCCAGAGAAAAAAGCAGGCTCATATATTAAACAGTAAGGTATCCTTTAAGCGTGGATCCTGTTTTCATCAGTAAGTCAACATATTCAATGTCTTCTGGGATTTGGACAGTAGCAGCTTACTTAAAGTCAAGAGATCATGCCTCTGCATTGGTTCTCCTGCCTTGATTTTGCTAAGTGTCTGTGTAGTTATTTTGCATGGAAGTCCAACGCCCATCTGACATGCTGCATAGCAGATAGTCAAGCTGCAGCAGAGGAGTCTGGAGGACATCTTCAGATAGTGCTTCTGGATTCGTATGCTTTGCAGCAAGTTCAGCTGCTGGACATGGGGGCTCAAAACCACAACCGTGTTAGCCTGACCTCCTTCCTTTTAGTCTCTGTGGACCACAAGAGCAGTACAAGACTAAAGGACGAAGTGAACTGTATTTAATTGTAAACACCATGCCTGGACAGCTTAGCAGTTCTGTGGAGTTGTACAGTCTTTTCTGGATAGTGAAGAATGTCCCGGGTTTTGGTACTTCACATTTTGGGGGATCACAGGTGAAATCTCCTGCCTGCACACACACTGTCACAGAAATGAAAGAATTTTTTAATTCCCTCTGGTCTCAGGCCACTGAACTGGGCAAATGGAGAGCCGATGACTTTTTTCTTTATGTCTCCCTTATGCCATCGTTCAGTCTAGACAAGTGGTTTCAGGATTAATTCTTTGCCAGTATGTGCAATTGAATTTTATAGGGTCTGTTTGAGGAACGTATAAAAGCTAATTTAATTTCCTTCCGTCTTCTCCCTTCTTTTAATGTCTGGTGGCAAATAGTGCGCTGGCTAAAATGAGCTGTTATCTACTATCTGCTTTTAGTGATGATACATGGAACAAACAGAAAGCTGCTCAGTTTTTATAACCTGAACTGAAAGCGCTGATAGCAGTAACCACATGAAAAACTAGCAGACAAAAAGCCAACATAGATCTGAGCAAGTTAAGCACATAAACATGACATGCAAATCACTAAAGAAATACAGATATGCAACCCAGCAGTGTCATTTGGAGACAGACTATGCTTTTACCAGAGGCATATCTTAACCTAGCACAAGGTCTTTTCTTAGCTCACAGCTGTCCTAGAGAAAGCAGCCGCACTGTGAAACCACCAGAGGCTGAGGTGCAGAACTGAAGTAGCAGGGGAGGTTTGAACGCTATATAAATCAAGAAATGCAGTGCCTCAGCCTGGAATTTCATCAAAAGCTCATCAGCTAGCAGTTTGACTTGAATTCAGCTTTGATTTGCCAACCACAGAAAGAAAGGAAAGGAGAGATATTACTCCACCTTACAGAAAAGAAAAAAAAAGAAAAAGCAAAGAGCACATTTCTAGTGGGAGAAACAAGCAAACACCGCTCTGCATTGTGTTCCTAATAGGAATAGATGGCTTGAGATATGTTCAATTACTATTCTGTAGTCTGGAGAAATAAGGGCTTCTCCATTTGGTGTTGCAGCCAGGAGATGGTTATCTGGTTTTCTCTTTGTAGTAAAGTATGGTGAAATGTTATCATTCTTGGCAAAGCTCGGAGTCAACTTGCTCATGGGTATGTCTGCTGGGCTTCAGATGGATTTTAGCACTGCATCAGCTGTGGAGGAAACACTGTGCTTTCAAAAGCAACCCATTTGCATCTGTTATTTCTCAGACAGCCCAAGGGAGGCATGGGGAGAACTGGGGGAAGGGCTGGAAATGTGTTTCACATGCCAAGACTTTGGTTTTGCTTTTCTGTTCAGACTTTCTGTCATCTTGAAATTATATCTATGAGTGCTGTTTGTACACAGCAGCATACGACAGTGCAGTTAACTCTTCATTATGGACCAGGCAGCGTATTTACAAAGCATTACAAGCTAGCAACCAAGGAGAGAACCAACTTAGATTTCTTTTAACTTAATTTTGAGAGGTATATATAAAATTGCAACTATGAACGAGAACTTTGAGTAGTTGTCAATCAGCAGAGCTCCATAAAAGCACACGGAGTTGTACAGACTGGAATGCAATAAATAAGGTCTAAATTATCACTAACCACACTAACAGCCAGGCACCTTGTAGGGAGTAGGATGACATATTAAAATGAAATACCTCAGCCGTGTTGGAGAATGAATTGCTCCTTAAATGTTTTTAGAGAGATTAAAGGGAGTATTTGTACTATTTTCTGGAGTAGATTGAAGGTACCAGGACACAGATTTCTCTAACAGCCTGAGTCATTCCATTGGCAAGTTCAGCATGGCCAGCATTTTCAGCAGAGCTCTGAGTTGTCTAGATTTTGGCAACAAAATGGAGAAGGTGGTTCTTATTGGAAAAATGTTCAGGCAATACACAGTCTGGATTCAAGCTGTTTAGTCATACCATAGTGTTCTCTCTTGCACGGTAAAGTGAAAAAAGAATTCATTTTGCTAGATGGGAAGGAACAGAAAAGGAAAGGATAAAAACCTTGTTTTTTATCTGGAAACTTTGGATTTGGAAAAGAGATGCTAGGGGACAAATCTGGTCAGCTTTGGGAAAATTGACTTCCATGAAGACATAAACACAGGGTGTTTTTTTCAACTTGAACTGAACAACGTAATTTTCTCCATTATGCTGGAGTAAAGAAAACCCAGGCATTGCAACTCAAAAATGATTCCTTAAGGCTGTGGAACTGATTTGCAAACTTTGATGCTTGATGGCTTGTTACTTCATTTTTGAAGTTATTAGCATCCCTTCAATTATTAGCAACTGTTCCTTCTAAAAATTAAGGACTGAACTGTCTGGTTTCAGAAAAATCTGTTTTGCTGTGGGTTTGTTTGTGGGTTGGTTTTTTTTGTTTTTTGTTTTTTGTTTTTTTTTTTTCCAGTTAGGGCAGTACTGAAGCAGCAATCTATGGGATCCTGGGTTTTAGCTGAATTAATTTTGCTCCCAGGATTTTTTTTACTTGGCGAACCTGAATCAGTTTCTTTTGCCATCCGGTTCATCATTTGCCCAGATTTAGTGAGTAGTATGATTACAGAACAGTTGTTATATTTTATCTGTCTCGAATCTTGCTTTCTTGAACGCTCAGTTAAGATGACTTTTTGTCCCTTGACTGTAAACTCTTCAGCATGGAAAACTGTCCCTTTGCCTTGTTTCCCAGCACAGTTATGCAAAACATCTCAGTGTTCCTGCATCACAGTCATGCAACCAGACCGAGGCCTCCCTTGCTAGATGTTAGATTTAAAGAGAAAATTCCAGTTTCTGTGTCAGTTGTTAATTTATGAGAGAGAAATGTTGTTTTTTTTCTGTGTGATAACTATGAAAACAACATCTAAAGCAAATCTGTGTGCTTGGGACAATT